GTGTCTATTTACTTTTGAGATGTCTCTGTATATTATTACATATCTGTATTTCATTTGATTTTTTGATACATGAAAGAAAATGTAGTTTTATGTCCATTGTCTTAATTATATAATTCTTTTTTTTTTTTTTCCATAGATCAAATATTCACAACTTTTTACAGGTTTAATTGACATATTGTGATTTCCACACTTCACATTTTCATTACTCTGTGTGTGTGTGTGTGCAAACAAAACCACATGAAATAATTTTTCCGAATTTTGTTTTGCAGTTTTCTTCATGTGCAAAAATTTTTCTGGCAGATATATATATTAAGCAATAGTCTAACTTACTAATCTCTAACATTAAAGTATCTAAGAAAAATGACCAAAAATGTTAATTATATTAAGTTTTTGTACTATCATGATTTGTTCAAGCATCCTAGTTTAAAAATATTTAACTTTTCTGTTTCTTATTTTACAGAGGAAATTAGTACTTGTAAATTGTTGCTGTTTATTAAGGACTGTTCTAACACTACATTTCAGATAAACCCTAAGAAGTTTATATTGTTATAGAGACACTTATCACTTATAAAAGATGTGTTTATGTACATATAACACAAAATGATTCAGAGATTGAAAATAATGTTGAAGGATAAATTAAAGATATATCTGAAGGCAGAATTTGTTTAAGTTTTTTACATTATTTGGTTTTGATGTTCTTCAAGAAAACAAAAAAGATTATAGAACACATTTTTAATTTTCTATACCCATGTGAAATATAATATTTAATTTTATGTATAGTGTATAAAATTTTACATGCATTTTGTGTAATATCTAGATATCAAGCAGGCTCTAAAAGAAGGACTTGATGATCCATTTGTCAATATTAGCTCATTTGAAGACAAGACACTTAGTGAGGTAATTTCTCTAGTGTTGAATTTCACTTTTCTACAGTATCATATCTATGATGAATGGTGGTGTGGTTCCTGTTTGCTTGAAAACTTCTACCTTTGTCATTTTTCTTTTTGGCAATAGCAAACAGAATTTTTGCAAATAGTGGTCTCATGTTGTAAATGTTATTACTAAAATTCTAATAACATGCAATTTCAAAGTTGATTTTCTTTTAATGTGCTCTCTGAAAGCTATGTGGTCAAACACCATTAGCACTTGCATGCTTATTGTTCACTCATTATTCTCACATGAAATGGATAAAAAACAAATTAAATATCATTGAAAATCGTGTAAAACATAACAGCAATATTTCAATAACTTTGATAGTTGGAATAATCAAAAGCAGTAGTAATCAAAATGCTAGTTGAATATTTTTGTGGCATCAATTTATTTAATCATAACTTCAATTAATCAATTATTTTACATGATATCTATGTAATTGGTTGTATTGAGTTACTCACCCAGTTCTGATTTATTCTTGGTGTATTCAAACATTTTGCAGGTCCTGTATAATGTGGTTTAATCTTGTGTATTTAAACACTTTGGAAGTCCTATACAATATGGTTTAGTAAGAGTTGTTAAGCATTGACGGATGCTCAAGTAGTTCACTACAAGTCTCAGAACCCCCATACCTTTAGTCACATCTCTTTCTCTTGGTTATAATGTTTCAAAAAAGAACCACACTTCTGAGACTTCAAGTACCTTCCTTTGTAAAACTTATAGTTAGTAAATTTAAATTGTATTTTTAATGAATACTCCATTATAAAAGTCTTTCAGAAAACTGCTTGTAGTAACACTCAAGTATAGAAAGCAATATAACACGTTGGGCAGGTTAATAAATGTTTTATCAGGAAATTGTGATCTAATCTGATTAAAGCCCACTCTCCACAGTTTCAAAATTAATAAAACTTTATGGAAGCTATTGTACCACATTGTTGCATCTCCCTATAAACAATGTAATTGTTTTTTGCAGGATTATGGAACTTCAAGCTCAGACTGCAGCAGTAAACCTCATGGAGTACATGCTGCCAATCAGTCAATGATAAGAAGGTTTAATCATCATTCTATGATGGTTCTACGTACCTGTGAAAGTCAGAAGTCAGTAGGAAACGATAGCTCAAGTGTTTGTGCTAATGGGGTTATTCCTGCCAAAAAAAGCCCTAGCACTTTTCCAAATGGAGCTTTTGCCCATAGATTGACAGCTACTGAAGAAATTAATGATGAAAGTCATGAAGTTATTTTAAATAAGAAGGTAAGTATTATCATCAAAACCAGATGATGGCATTGCTCTAGTGAGTTATGTTAAGTACTTGCTTGCTAGTCCAGTTTCATATATCCATAGTGCACACAAACGTACTTGTGTAATGTTTGCCATATAACTAAATATTTTCTTTTTTTTTATTACAAGTAATCTTACCAATATTTTTTATTAAATAGAGTTGTACTGCAACATTAAACAGGGCATAAAATGAGGTTTTTAAAGCTAGAAAAACATTATGAAATAACACAATTTTTTTGTAGATAAAACTCCAAGAAAAAACTTACTATGAAGACCTTGTCGAAAGCAACCAATCAGAAAGCAATATGCTCAACTTAACCAGATCTGATAGGTATTTAAATGGCCCTATCCCATACATGGATTGTGAAGAATTTTCTAATGAAGAACTTTTACAAACAGCCAACCTCATTAAATCTGAAATAAGTCAATGGTGTCCAAACCTTACTCAGGTAAGCCACCCATGTATAAAGTAAACCCTGTTTATAAAAATTGTTATACCCTTGACTTTATGGAAATATAAATAATAATAATTCTTTCTACAACAGTTCAGTGAATATGAACATTCACTTTTAATTGGATTAATTCATAGTTAAAAATACATTTTTTTTGCTTTCGCTCATAATCCACATATTTGATATGATTCTATTTTTAAATCTTTATCTTATTATCATCCACATTAACCCTCATATTTATACTAGTCATGCTTCTAACTTAAAGATTCTTATCCCAGTTATAGCTTCTAGACAATAAAAGAAATTCATTGTTTAATCAGACAACTAAAAATTTCCTAATTGATAATAAACAAATCTTAAAAAAAAAATTTCAATAATGTTAGTGAGGAACTGGAAAGAGCAATCTTTGTAAGACTGTTTCTTTTGAGAGAAGGAAAAGCCTTCCATCATTAGCATTTAATTATTTATCTTTTAGTGATTTTTTAACCATTTCTTTGTAAACATCACTTCTTATGAATATTACTGAATATTAAAGATGCGCAAAACTGCCAGATTTGGCATTTAATTACTATTTATTTGAAAGTTTACAAAACTTCAATATTTCTTGTGTAAAAAAAAAAAAAACATGTGTAAAAAGTTGGTGCTTCTTCTTGGAAGAAGACCCAAGATGATTTACCACATTGCCTTTACTATTATTTTGCAATGATAAGTGTTATGTATTAGAATTTCAAATAGCCTGAAATTAAGTTAACTGATAAATTTAAATTTAGTAGTTAAATTGTACTTTGGATTTAGCAGTTAAGTAAGAGCCATTATATAGTCAGTTTGTGATATTTGCCAACAAGATTGATACACAGTTTTCTTTTTTAACACAAATACGTTTTAATATACACACAACAGTACAACTTACAATAACAATTATTACAAATAGTTATTACAAACAATGATTTATAAACAAAAGTTTCACAAACTTTCAAACAATATAAAGTCTTCTTTTTAGTCTGGAACTTCCTTGATATCTTACCGAGGATTCAGGATGATCAAGTTAATTTCGAGTTGATGTAGGTACGATTCACTTAATGGGAAGCTAGCTAGCTTTGTCCTCTGTTATTTACCAGCCACACAAGTTTTCCATGATGAATTAATATAATGTTTTCGTAAAAATGCTAATGTCCAATGAGAATCCACTGAATGTTCAAACTTTGTAAATGCTCCTGGTCAAATATCTTAAGATTTCCGATTAATAAGCATTATAACAATCACAGTTATAGCTTCCGAAGTTTATAGCACACTGACTATAGCAAACTAATAATAGATACTCTTTTTTTTTGTGTGTGTCGTGTTGGTTATATTTACAGGCATGTGGAGGCTTTCTAGAAATTTAAGTTGTACGTAACAATACTGACACTAACACAAGTGATTTACATAAATACATATATTGTTGATTCTTACTCTCAAGAATCTTCTACAACTTTGGAGAATAGGTGGGAATTTTGCAGTACATATTTAACACTATAAGTTATGCATGCTTTTAAATATAAACTTAATCTAAACAAATGTTGATATTAAAATAAATATATAATAACAAATTTGTTACATAAGTTATTATTATAATTAAATACTATATTTTGTTTTTAGAAATGCTATATCTTGATTTCTGTATATGATATTGGAAGTACAGTAAAAGTTAAAATATTTTACAAAAAAATTATATGGTTAACTTTTGGCTAGATAACCTACATCAGATCTCAATCTAAGTTTGTTTGGTTGAAATGTTGACTGCATAATTATTTTTTCTCCTTTATATTGATTTCTTTAACCATTTCTTTGTATTTTCAGACATTAGATGTAGCCACATTTGTTTGTTATTAATATAGCTTTATGTTCTTGGAACGTTTTTTTAAAGTAATTGGCTTACTCACTTTGACACATTCATATTTTCAACCTTTCATAAAAGTGAGCAGGTCTTTAGAAACTTTCTGTATATTGGCTTGTCTCAACTATTTAAGTATTTGTTGTTATAGGTATTAACATCTACAACAGCTATCAGTGCTTTAAGTGAGCTATCACCAGGTGGTGCTCTCATGAAGGGTTCACAACAGATTCCACTTAAAGGTATAATTTTTGGATTTACAAATTTTTAAATCTTATGAGAAAAGTGTGAAATTGTAATAATTTTTAAATAAAAATTGGGTATTTGCTTCACTTTATATTAATGACTTTAAAATTTTGTTCAGTTGTCTTTTTGGAAACTTGTATATGTGTGGAAAACATTTTCTCATTTTCTGTATCTTAAGAAACAAAACTACTATTCCATTTTAATCTATTTTTTTATAGTTAGTGTTCGTAAGATATCATAATTAACTTGTTTTCAACTGTTAGAACATGCATCATTATTTCTATAGTAAACTTAATGAAGAGTTATCAGCATTAGTTTTTTTTATAAAAATAATATTTACGAGTTTTAGGATTCTTTGAGAGAAATTGTATTTAACTGCAAAGAACATACAGAACATAGTGTTTTATATTTGTATTCCTAATACTTTTGCTTCTGAATATTACTGAATTTTAAAGATGCTCTAAATTTACAAAACAGAAGTCACTAAGAATGCTGCATCATTGCCTATTCTAGAAACACTTTCTAGAATTCTCTAGCCTATGTATAGTTTAAGTCTTGAAATATAAATATTCTTTGTTTTTAATAGAAACAGTTCCTATCCACTTTCAAGAAGAAATACAACAGTTATATAGTGCCCTTTGTGAACTTCTTAGACATTTCTGGTCATGCTTTCCTACCACAACTCCTCTACTTGAAGAAAAGGTCAAAATATTAATCAGTTCTTTGTTTAATATAAAAATAATCAGTTACTTATTTAATATAAAAATAATCAATTACTTGTTTAATATAATAATAATCCATTATTTGTTTAATATAATAATAATCAGTTACTTGTTTAATATAATAATTATCAGTTACTTGTTTAATATAATAATTATCAGTTACTTGTTTAATATAATAATAATAATCAATTACTTGTTTAAGTTTAATCAATAGTTACTTTTTAATATAAATATGGTAATCAGTTATGTGTAATAAACATATATATAATAATCATTTGTTTAGTATGAATATAAAAATTACTTGTTTATTCTGACAAAATAGAAAATTAGAAACTGTGGGATGTCAAGAAAGTTTTTTGAGATTTTAACTTGTGCTGAAATTAATAATGAATTGATTTTCTAGACATTAAGTGAAATTGTTTTGAAGATTTCTACACAATTAACAACTAACTGGCTAAAGGGTGCAGATTTTGAGCTTAATAATTCCCAATTATATCAGTATATTATTCAATTTCAAATATGAGATGTTAGACACAGTTATAGGTTGTTTGAGCTGCTGTACATACTGAAGAATAAACTGATCAAAAACATAATATTTTTACATTTGTCATGTGTTTTTATAGGTAGTTAGAATGAAGGAAACTTTAGAACGTTTTCATTCAGCAAAACTTCAGCCTTTTCAAGATCGTCTGTTACGAGATCACTGTAGCACAGAAGTAGGCTGACTTTCGTTTTTTATTGTTTTTAATAATTCAATTTATTGATGAGAACAAACTGTTTAATAAAAAGAATATTATTAGACATCTCTATACATCATACGAGAAAATAATTTCAAATTTGAAAATAATCTCAAAGAGTATATAATAAGTCTAAATCATTTTTCTCTGTTAAGTATTCCACTAGTTTACTAAAATTAGCTGAGTATTACAGTAAGTTACTTTCAACAATTGTATTTATACAAGTCATGAAAAATTAGTTAATTGCTATAATTACAGGTTTAGTGCACATTCATAGCTGTTAGTTTTAACTATTTAAAAAGAGTAGAACGTACGTTTTCTGCATTAGAGCCTAGTAGTAGTAGGATGTCTTGGACCTAAACTGCACACTGTTTATTCAACAACTTTTTAGAAACACCTATAGACTAGTTAATTTTCAACAGTGGTGTTGAGTTTACAACTCAAAGTATTAGTAACAGTTGATGACATGATGCAGTTTTTCTTTATAAGTTTATAAAATATGTTTTATCATACACTGAGATTTTAACTTCTGAAGTTTTCTGTACTTAACTCTGTACCATTTGGAAAGTGTTTGATATTTAATATTATGTGTCTGATGTAATAATGATGAATTGTTTTTACTTTTAGTATTATCGCTAAGTTTACCACCTAACTGTGTGCATAACTTCCAGTAATACAAGTTTAATGTTTTTTGTGTGATTACATATGTTCAAAGTTGTTAATAACTTACTGTATAAAGCTTAATATAAAAAACATTTTACGTATATACAAAGATTACTTTTCATCAAAGTTTAAGAGAAAACCTTGATAAAAAGTAATCACATACAAATATGTTAAATAGAAGCTAACATTTGAGATTTTATAAATATATGATCAGTCTTTATAAACTGATTTTTTTCTCCAACATTGAATTTCAATGAGATTTGAAAGTTTACCTAGGTTAGTATTAATTTGTTTTAAGATGTATATGAAGCACAAATAGTGCACAGTGTATGTTAACTTTAAAGGCCATGAGGCAAAGCAAAGATATTCATAGAAGCAGTGTACATCGTATTAAATTAAAATGTTATGAATAAACAGGAAGACATTCATAACAACAGTATATTATGTACTAAGTTAAACTGTCATGAAGAAGCAGGAAAATATTCATAAAAATAAGGTACAGTGTATTAAATATAGTCACCAGGAAACTGGGAAAGATATTCATAAAAATTGGGTACAGTGTATTCAATTAAACAGTACTGAGGATATGGAAAGATATTCTTATCACTGTAATGTATACTGGATTAAATTAAACAGTAACAAGAGAACAGGGAAGATATTCATAACACTAGTGTATACTGTATTGAATTAAAAATTCATGAGGAAATGGAAAAATATTTATAAACTACAAATAGTAGTGAAATGGCTTTGAATAACTAGTTTCCAATAGTCTTGTGTGTGTTGTGTTGATAAACACTTACTATATTGATTCTGTAACTTTTCAAAGAACTTACTTTAACTTTCAGAATCGATGACGAGGAACCTTGTCGAAACGTTGTACATTTGCTGTTATGTTAAACTTATATTAAAGTTTTTCTTCATTACCCATTCAAACTGTCTCCAAGCATTATTACTTTAACTTTTTCACTGCCACATTTATAGAGAAATAACTCTTCCAGTATCGGTTTTCTTTTTAGAATCATTTGTTTTGTGTGTAAGCTGAAAGCAACACAATGTGCTACCTGCTTTGGACCCATCGTGATAGTGAATCCTGATTTTTAGTGTATGAGCCCTCAAGCTTACTGCTGAGGCTTTGAGGGAATTGTATTTAGATACATACAGAAACACATCTGGTGTTGTACAATTAATACTTGAAGCCATTGGTACTTGATAAACTCCATAATTACAGAACTGAGAAAAGCAAAGACAATTGTATATTTTTCAAGCATTTCATATATTACTATCATGGTTTCACTCATAATGGTAACATAGGTTAGCTGACAATGCTTTTATGGGTGAAACCATGTACAAATAAATGAAATGTTTGTGAAATGTACAGATGTCTTTGTTTTTCTTAATTAAGCATTGTACAATTGCTTATATTTTGCTTATTACTTTTCCTGTTGCATTTTACAGGTGATTATGTTCTCAGTTTGTAAGAAAAATTAAATGAAATAATTTTTCATACAATTATTTCCAAATTTTGCAAATTAATTTAAATACCAAACATTTATGACTTTTTAAACCTCCCCCCACTGAACCTATAAGATCTATTAAAGCCTTTATTTTGAATGTGACTCTATTTATTTGTGAAAATCACCTATAAAACCTAAATTTTTCAACAATCCTGAACCACGCATGTATATATATTTTCATAAAAATATGTGAAAAATATCACTTTAGACAAAAGGTTAAATAAAGATCTCCACTGTAACAAAAGCCTGTTACATATAAGAATTCTTTGGAAAAATCATAAACTTATTTACACCTAAATAATATTGCACTTTTATGAGTAGCTTAGGCTGAAAAATTATTCTTTTGGTGAGTAAGCCTATATTTTCATGTCACAGCATATTTTTGTAGTCTTTTCTTTTTTTTCTTAAAAATGGACTGGGAGAAATATTTTTTAATTAATTATAAAATTATTAATTTTATTGCATGTGTGTTTTACAGAACATTTACTTGATATCAAACTTTCCAAGGTTACATAAGTGTCCATGGCACTGTTATAGAGGAGGATATAAATGTGCTCTTCATATGCGGTGAAAGATTTAAAATATAAAAACCATCAAGATGAAAAATTTCACAAAATAAGTAGAAGTATTTTCCAAACATTTAGTTATCGAATCTGTAACAGTTTTACAGCTCTGAAAAATACTTGTGTTTTCAGTAAAATTTTCCATTGATAATCTGCTTTTTGTAAACTAAACATCACCTACTTTCTAAAATAAGGAGTTTTTGTGTCATGTTTGAGTTATAGCAAATAAGTTATGTTTCAAAGACCATCGATACCAACTGCATAGAGATAGTACTAACAGCTTACAAAAAGTCATGTGAGCACACGTAGTTTGTAGATATATTTTTAGAAGACTCCAAAAGAATGGTGAAAACATATCTTATGTAATACCAACAACTTTGTATAAGTTTTTACCTGAATATTAGTAGCTCATCTGACAACTTTGTTAACTTTCTGTAATAAATACAGATGCATATAGAGTAAACCTTTTTAGTTTAGTTTGAAATTTCTGTTTGCATGTTAAGTGGATGACTTGTAGATGAGTTTAGTGGATGAGTTGTACCAGACTAATGAATAATATTAGCTTTTGCTTTTTACAGTTGACATCCCACCTTGTTGATATGGTTCAAACAGCGTACAGCAAATTTAACAAATGGCAGGACAAGAAATTATCTTCACAGAAGCCTCTACGAAATATTTTAATTTAGTGCTGTTAATTTGTTCTTAAGCTAATGAAACTGATAAATTGTTTCCACTTAACAAGTGAAAAGACAAGTTTTATGCACAGAACATTCTATGAAATATTTAAATTTAATGCTGTTATTTTGTTCTTGAGCTAATGAAGTTGAGAAATTGTTTCTATTTAACTATCTTAATGACAAATGCCCATCTACTTTATTGTTTTTATTTTGCTCTTTTGGTTTCTGAAACTGATGAATTGTCTTGATTTACTGGTGCGTAAATTTTTGTTTTTTTCTGTTTTGCATTATGTAGCCTTTTTTTTCACTGTACCTTAACTTTCTGTTTTACTATTATATTTGTTTTTTAATTCTAAAGAAATGTTTGAGTAACTTGAATTTTCAAATTATGTATCTAAGCTAAAACATAATTTTGAGGTTGAAACATATCACTAGCATATAGAATGCATAATTTATTGTGAATGACAACCAAACCTGCCCTAATTTGATAACTGATATAATAACTTGGTTTATTTTCTTTAATGATTACAACACAGATGTTGGCATAGAATGAATTTATTGTTTTTATAAGTATTCCACACTTTGAGTTTGTGAAGTGCTTATACAAACAAAGTTTTATCCATCCAATATAATATATATGTTGGAAGGAAGAAATCAAATTATTGTTATTTTCTTCTAATATACTACTAGAATTGTGTTCCCTTAATTTGTGTGCTTGTATGGGAATTTTTGTTTAGGTCATGCAATTGAATTTGAATAAAATTTAGTTTAAACAAGTTGTAATATCAGATCATATTGAGATCTTAGTAAAAATAAGATCATTCTCAAATTCGGCACTAAAACTGTTCAGGTTACTTCAGTTGTTAATATTTTCTACAATGTTAGGCACAACAGTTAACTTATTATTAGCAAATAAAGTTGTACACATACCTAGATATATGTTATAAAACACTAATCTTAAATATTCAGTAAGTAGCTAAATTAGATTTCCAATTTAAAAGTAGTTAAGGAAAATAAAGCAAATAAATTTGAAACAAATGATAATTTGAACATTTTTTCAATCAATAGACCTTTTAGGAAGACCTTAGATTTTTAAATAAATCCAACCTTGATATAAGATCTGTAAGGTTGCTTGTATGAGTGAAATATACAAAAACTTGAAACATCTATTAGTGGTTTTTATAAATAAATTAAAACATGTAAATTTTGAAACATTTACTGGTATTTGTTTTATAAAAGTATTTAAGTTTGTTCAGTGTTAATAGTTATTTACTTGTGTTTTTTTTCTTCTCACATATAAAATATTTCCACTGCCCTTGTCTCTTTTCTGCAGTGACTTTCGTTTGTGGTGATTTAAATGGCTTTATGTGATTTATCATTGGTTGAAACTGTTTTATATGGATACTAAAGTGGTCAACCAACTGCCTACAGAGAGCTACAAAACATAGAGCACAAATGCTCACTTTATTTTGATTAAACAAGTATCATTAAAACCACCTAAGCTTAGGCTTCATACTTTTGTTTCATTATTTTTTTAGCAAAACCAAAACCAGCCTGCTGTTTTGATCATGTATTGAACTTTTCTTTAAAAGATATTCACTAAAATAATAATAAATAACTTAAAGAAATTCAAAGGTATTGATGACATTTCATTAATTTTACTTAATAATGTGACATATTTCATTGATAATTCAAGAAGTGGATTTCTAGATCTAGATCTTGTGTTCTGTAATATTCAAAAACCAGTTTTTGCAAAACCATTATTTTGGGATATATGTGTCAACTTCAGTTAGAAGTATTTTGCAACATTTCTCCTTTTAAAAACTGGATTTGTTCTAATTGATGTATACATCTCTCTACATACATACATACATACATATAAATGTATATGTGATACAATCTTGAGGATAATTATTATTATGCAAGTAAAATTTGCATCTTCCTTTCACATACATAAATCATTAGCAAATCAACAACAAAATGCTCATAACAAAACTACCATTAATGTTCTTGAAGGAACTCCTACAACTCTCAGACTGCTAAACAGGGTCAGTATGAACTAAGATTTTTTTTACTAGATCTGGAAAAGACCGCATTTGCTACATTTTTTAGAGTACAATGTTCTTTTGCATTAAATGTACAGTTGTGTATTGGTGAATGTATTGATAATACATTGTCAGTATCACAATTTATTTTATGCCTTTTTGTGTGACAAGAAGCTTAAAACGAGCATAATGTAGTGTGGCCGTACTAGTAAGAAAAAAAGAGTGAAGCATAAGTTACGGATTATGCTCTGACACAGTGTTAAATATTTATGTACAAGTGCATAAGTCTAACAATGTCCATGGTTCACTGAGAATTGAAATAAACCATTCAAATATTCTGTAAAAAAGCAAATAATTATTGATATTTTGTAGGATCTGAAGGACTTGAAATAGTGAGATATTGATACTGAGTGAGTATTATACAGTATTCATTGCTATTATAGAAAAAAAAGGCTTTTTTATTTTATTTGTACCTGTTGAGTAAGCCTTAATTTTTAATGTTTTTATTTACTTTTTTAACAGCATTAACATGAAGTGTATATTGTATATAGAAAATTAAAGATTGAATGTATCAGTTTCAAAACAAACAGAACTGAAAGATTTTCATCACTTAATAAATACCTGTAAACAAATACCCAACAGCTGTTTTATGCTTCAGTTTTTTTAAAACAAACTTTCATCCAAATTGTACTAGCATTTGACCAGTAATTCTAGACACATGTAGTGCATTAGTAAGTATATTCTTATATAACTGGGCCAGGTGGTTAGGGCGCTCGACTTGTAACTTGAGGGTCATGGGTTCGAATCCCCATCCCACCAAACATGCTCGCCCTTTCAGCTGTGGGGGGTGTTATAATGTGACAGTCAATCCCACTATTCATTGGTAAAAGAGTACCCCTAGAGTTGGCAATGGGTGGTGATGACTAGCTGCCTTTCCTCTAGTCTTTCAGTGCTACATTAGGGACGGCTAGCGCAGATAGCCCTCGTTTAGCTTTGCGCGCAATTCAAAATAAACCTAAACCTTCTAAACTGGCAGAACATCATAAAATATTATTGGGATTAGGCCAAAAATATTGTTAACAGCAAGGCTTTTCAAATGATAAAACAATGCATTCTAGTCTTTATAAGTAGAAACCTAAGAAAGGTGTATCTAATTAACTATAGTGATTGCCAGGTTGACTTTTAGTTTCGCTCTAAACACACACTTGCTCTGATCGGAAGTTAATATTTATCCCTTAGTCCAGTTCCACAGCGATATGTCTGCGGAATTACAACGTTAGAATCCTGGTTTCAATACCCGTGGATGGCAGACCTCAGATAGCCCGTTGTGTAGCTTTGTACTTCAATACAAACAACCCTTGGTTCAAAAAATAAAAAAGTCTGCCCGTACAGTTGACGTATTTTCGTTTCATCTGCGCATGTCGTCCAACGCAGCTATCCATTTATATAATTACTGTGCAATTTCTTACTTCCTTTGTGTGGATATTCATAATTCAGACAACACAGAATTGAACTTTAAATGAGCTACCAGATTAATCTGTTCGGCCTGGGGATTTGCACAAACTAACCCTCTTTTTTTTTCAATCGGGTCAAATTCATTCACAAAATATAGCAAATTTTCAAATAAATCACATTGAAACTAGACGGGTGATGCCATATGCTTCTTCAATGGAAGGACCAAGCGTGGCCCAGTGGTTAGCGTGCCGGACTATGTACCTGCGGGCCCAATGTTTACGCTTCTTAACCACCAAAAACAAATCAACACATTGGGGACGAGAGTGCATTATAAGGGTGGTAGTCAAAACCCAATATTTGGTCAGACAAGAGTTGGTGATGAATACTATTGAGTATTTGCCTATCGATTTAAAATTAGAGACGACTAACGCAAATAACCCTTATGTAACTTTACTCAAATAATTGAAAAACAAATTCAAAGGAACTCATGTTTAATCTACCTGTATGTGAAAGATCAACGTGATAAGTTTATAGAGAAGCAGTGAACTTAAGAGTACTGTAATGTACATTTTTACACGGATGGGGTGATATCACGTTCTTTAAAAGGATTCTACTGATCAACGTGTAGAAGCTCTGTTATCAGTAGATGGTAAGAACAAGTCGCTTGTAGAAAAAAATAATAAGGAATTATGAACCAACTTTTTAAGTAGGGAACCTGTCAATTTCTGACGGGCACCTTAGTAATATTATGTAATACATTTTCTCTGTGAAAGTTTAATTCATACAATATACAGTAATAATTTAACGAATATGTGATTTTTCTATTTCGTGTCAACATACATCAGAAAACAATTATGTTAATTAGATTTTCATATGATTAAAGTTTCTAAAGGTGTATATTTACACCAAATTGCATATAAAAATCAAATTTCAAAATTTTCAGGGGCAAACTCCCACAGACCCTGTATGGACAAAGTTCCAGGAATAAAATATTACCATTTTAACAGTTATACTTTATATTTTCATATGGCAGTTTTCCGTCTGTCTGGTATCTTGACATAACAAGTTGTTGTTATGATCTGGCTTAAACAATTTCCACGAAATTTGGTAGAGGAACTCAGACGGACTCCCTTAATATCAAGTTTAAATGGTTAAACTGTCTGTCAAATGGTACGAGATTAGCAGCCTTTCCAGGTTTTATGGTGTGTAAGCCTTTTATAAGCCGATAAATAATGATTACAAATTTACTTGTCATAAGACAAGAAATGGGCCTAATACTAACTAACGTTTGAATTTTTGCTACTTGCAGCCGACATCAAACGAAAGTGACGTCTAACGCTGCGCTTAGCATGGATTTCTTTGCTGCTCATCCATGTACAGAAGATTTGCATATCGAATGACAGGCAAGAGCACGATGTCCCACTGTACCCGTGAAGCCAACAAAATAGATGTCGTGCTAGGTGCATATGTATTTGCTTGTATATATATGTGTGTGTGTGTGTGTGTAACGGATGGGGTTATATCACGTTTTTCAAAAGAACTCTACTGATCAATGTGCAGAAGCTCCGTTATCAGTAGATGATAAGAACAAGTCGGCTGTAAAAAAGAATAATAATAATAAGGAATTACGAACAACACATTGAATAATTTTATAAAGCGTGTTAGATATGTTGTACATTTCACCTACTGTTATTAGTCCAGAGATTAGGTAGGGCCGAATGATTTATGCACGTGTCCCATGGAAAATGAGAAACATAATTCTTTCTTTATTCTTTCAGCATATGTATATGAATTTGCAAGTTTTTTATTCACTTCACAATTTCACACTATTTATTACACTGAATTTTCAATTCCAATAAAAGTTGCCATGTTTGTTCGCAGCTTTACTTAAAATCTCTAGATATCTACACTGTAGCTAAATATTGAAAAAAGTCGCTACCATGGCGGCGTCTTGGATATTGGACATGGTAATTCTAACTCAGGTCATCAAAGAGACCGATGCGGTCTTGCCGACATCCCCTGAGCTCTGACATAGTGTGATCAGGGTCGTGTTCGAAGATTATCCTTCGCCCCGCAGCAGGAAGAGTTGTGGAAAAATAGTGGAATGAAGAGAAGCTGATAAACTACAAGGTTTTGGTGTGGGTGGTCGTGTCGAGAAGAGGCAAAGCAAACGCCAGGCAGGTCCAGCGACGAGAAGATGTTTCATAGGATGACTGTGTCAGCCTCTTTGCTAACCTGATGCTGGTATTATAGGTAGGTGGGAACAGGTTTCCAGATATCATATGGTTTGCATTACAAACATTTTTGTGCAAACGTTTTTTATCTCAATATCCGCCAATAATTTATTGTTTAATCTGCTGTTATGGCTTAAACTAATCTTACAAATATTAAACCCATCAAATCTGAATGTTGGAGCTTTCCTATTCTCTTGATTGTAATTGCAAAACTTAGAAGGCGGGTCTATCGTCCCTTGATTTTTTTGCCCCCCCCCCCCTCCGTGGAAAAAATTCTAAGAACACCCATGATTTTAATATTATTCTATTTCACTGAGAGATATTTTCTTTGATGGTGGTCTATTGCAAATACATTGGTATTAAATAGTTAAAACTGTATACCTGTTGTGCTCTTGAATTTTGTTTTTTGTTACTCTTTCTGTTTCTCCACTCTATTTTCACAAGAGATGTTGTAGAATAAAGTAACTAACTGGTAATTAGACTTAGGTGATTGTAAAAGCTATTACTCAAGACAACGATTGATATACGATCGTCATACTCTTACTGTGAGTGCTTAACAACTTTAAATTATTCATATATTCAGTGCTCACAAACTTTTAAACAGAATAGGAAATGATTTTTGGTAAGCAACTTCAAATACACAATGCTAACGTAATGTAGTTTTAAATTGAACAGTGATTTTATAATCAACCTACTATTCATTTAACTTTTTCTGTTTAATTCGTTAAAAGCAATATTCATTAAAATGCTATTAAGAATTTAGTAACTCCTCTAGAGGACGTTCCGCGAGCTTGAATGGTTTCAACTTTCAATCAAATGCTGATTCACACGGTTGCTGGTAACGCTAAAGTGGTAACGCGTTTCTGTTGTCATGTTACTTATGAATATGATGTAACTTTGTAAGTAAAGCGTGTTCTTTTGTGTGGATTAATGGTACAGTTTCATTTTTATTTACTTGACGTGGGTTTTCAAGATATTTAAAATGCTTTACGGTGTAATACTGCTAGCATATTCCTGCCAGAACATGGTATTAATATTAATGAAACGTAAGTTAAATTTAAAGCTTGTACTACAGTCTACAATACTGCTAATAATATAATAACAAAAGTAACATTAATATTACTCATTTACTGTTAGTTGTAACGTTATCAATACAACGTCAGGACTTAGAAGTGTAGTATCGTTATGCTTGGTAATATTACTAATACTATTAGTATTATTATTAGTACAAATACTTGTAGTCAGTATACTCTACGTAGCATAAACATACTCTCGTTGTTACGCTTCCAGATTGTTATTCACTCATTGTTACATAGTTCAAGTAGACATTTTTAGCCATCAGCTCTTCACAATGTAGTATAGGTAAATTAAAGCAAACCTAAAAGTAGAACTAGTTGTAGTATAACTATAACTTAAGTTATAGGTACAAGCCTATTCCTGTAATACATTATAGTTATACAAGCTGTATTCTTCGTTGTTACAGTTACAATAACTTCGTTATTACAATAACAACTTTGTTGTTACAATAACTTATACATAGCATAACAATGTATTTTAGAACAATTATCAGTAAAAAGGTTTTTATAATATTAATAATTTGTAATATTTTTAAATTTTACTAAGAAAGTCTTAAAGATAAATATAATATTAGTAATACATCACAAAACGTAATATTTTAAATCTTTACAAATTACAAGTAGTGCCCTCGTGTTTACAGTGTTAGTTTTGTTTGTTACCTCTTTTATTTGCTTATCTTGACAGTATTAAATAAAATAACTAAGTACTTTGCATAAAATAAATATGTTTTACTCTCTACTTATGTGGAAGACTGTCATTTTTTTTGTGTGTGATAAAAAGTATGTTTTAAAATAATTTTATTTTGAAATTGAATATTTCATGCATAGGCAACACCATTATCTCATGTTTTATTCTAACGGTTTTAAATATATGCAGTGGTAAGTGACCAGTCATTGCACATAAATTATGATTTGAAATGACAGAATTTGTTTTGTGTATGTACTCTCAAACTCAAAGCACACAACAATTTTAGAAAGTGCCATATCAGAGCCAGCTATGTGGTAGTGGTTAAGTCTAGGCAAGGAATAAATATTTTTAAAATAAAATTATTGTAAAACATACTATTTGTTTCAGAAATATACTTGAGTTCTTCATATTAGTGTAAAGAATTAAAAAATATAAATTTTGTTTAATATATTTGGGTATTTTTTGGAATATGCCAGTGCAATAGGAAACAAAAGTAACATACTGAATGGTAGTGTAGAGTAGAAGGTCTTGTTATTGCTCATAAGAGTCCCATTTTGAGACTGTTAAACAGTTTCTTCACAAAAAAGTAATATGTGGACATATGTAAAGCTAAATGAGATGAGATTTTTTTTTGTCTGAGCATTAAGAAGGTAAATCATGTTTTTTTGCAAATTGCATAGTATGGCAGACTAAGAGGCAAACATTTCAAATTGATAAAGTCAAACTCTGGGTCTGATTCTCAGACTGATTAGTACTGTACAGTGATTTCTACATTTTAATAAAAATGAAAAAAGTTATAGGTGATTTTTTTGAGTAAAGAATTGGTAATACTAAACAATTTTCATGTGATTGAATTTATCTAAAAACTAGGTAACATGGTCATATTATAAAAAAAAAAAAGCCCAGATTTGGCCCTGCTGCTAGTAGCCTTAACAATGAAAATGGTAAGGTTTTCTTTTGTACTTTGCTGTCTAACGGTAAGAAGTTATTTAAAATTCACTCTTAAACAAGTTTATAAACTTTGCAACAGTGTATAAATATCATACCCTCTTATAATGTTGAAAAATCACTTGTATAACAAAAATACTAATGTAATCATTTGACAGTTGTTCCAAAATAAAGAAATACTTCAAGCAAATTGGATATCTCAGTATATTAAAAAATGGTGAAGTAAACCAGCTGAAGGTGTGATGGATATTATAAGTGTTAAATATGATTGTACAATGGTTTAGCAAAAACCCTGAAAGAGTATAAATAAATGGTTTTGCACAGGAACAATGAATTGTTGAACAGTAAATTTCTAGTGATTCAGTAAGGCATGTGTTGATGTTAAAGATAAGTTCTAAAGATTTGTTAGACTAGTCTAAAAACAGCGTGATGGATATGCCATTATTGCTTGGACATGTGTTTTTGTTAATGTCAAAAACTGTGTGGAAGTGTCCCATTCATGATTGTTAATTTTAAAGTCATGTTGTAATGAGCATTCTTTCATTTTTTTGGTAGTTAACAAAAAAAAACATAGAAGATGAACTTGTCATTTGCTGGCTGTGGATTTCTAGGAATATACCATGTTGGAGTAGCTAGCTGTTTCAGGGAATATGCACCTCATGTTCTTGTAGAAAAAATTGCTGGAGCTTCTGCTGGAGCTTTAACTGCTTGCTGTCTTATTTGTGAAGTCCCATTAGGTAAGTGTTTATATTTGCTTTTAGCAGTTGACAGTGATCCAGTGGTTGTGCACAGTTGATCTGCTTAAAGAATAATTATTTTGTGTAATTTAGATTGTAAGTAACAAGTTAAAATTGTTCTATCCATTTAGGAAACAGAAGTTTTGTTCTCATGTAAGATAATTGGGTACCTTGTGGTGAATAGTCAGCTGTTTAAACTGTGCAAGCCATGATTAATACCTGATAAATACCAGTAAGCATTGTATGTATTCTGAATAATGTGTAACACACCAAGTTAGTTATGATAATATTGTAGGATTTTATAAACAGAGTTACAGAAATGTCACAGTTATTTGTAATAACATGTGTTGTGTGTGTGTGTGTATTAATATTTCTGACAAAACTAATAGGACTATGAAAAAAGAGCTCAGTAATGTATTTTTATCTGATTGATGATCAGAGAACAGATAAATTTGTGACATCATTACCAGGATAAGTACAAAATAATAATCCTTCTTTGAGATAACTTTATCTACATTATAGTTTTGTCATTTATTTCTGAAAAACATATAGTTTTAAGTCAACATAAAGAGCACATGTAAAATCTTGAGATATTCCTACTTCCTGGTATTGTATTATGTGTGTTAAGGTCATACTTTTACCTATCTGTCTTGCTGGAATAACTTTTTTATTATTCTCATGATTTTTTAAAGTGAGTAGTCTACATCTGGCTAATATACTTTTGGAAAATATGTTTTTTACAAAACTTTAAAAGGAAATTCAGTTTTTGATGAGTCATATGGTGTGCATGTGAGCAACATCTAGTTTTATCTGTTGAACATACCTATACATTTACATGATAACTGGGGAGAGAGAGATTAGTTTTTTTCATGCAAAGTATTGATAACCATTCTTCATAACAATATATACAGAGAATTAGTATCGTATATAAATATATCACATCTTGAGAGTGTTTTAAAAAGTAGCATAGTTCTTAAGTTACTATTATTTCATTGTGTGTGTACGTGTGTTTGTACATTATTATTTGTATTAATCCATCAGTAACTGCTTAGCATATTTTAATGTGTGAGGAAGTAGCTGTAGTATATTAAAAAGTTACTAGACATATATAATAACTTTTCTTAATAAATAGCAACCTGTAATAAAAAGTTTTACATACACATCTTTTTTTTTATCCTCATGGTCTGTAATGAAGACTGTAAGTTGCTGGGGATTTAATGTAATACTGGAATATTTGGAATTCACTATACTCATTATTACAGGCTAGAACATTATTATCTTTACTATGTTTGAAATAATTCACTGATTTATAAATGTATTTATTATTGAAGCTCACTGTTTTCTACAAAATTGTGTTTATTCTAACATTGCTTGAAAGTACCTTTTTAGGTTACTGGAAAATGTTTGCCAGTTACTTTGAAAGTTACTCATAAAAGTGCCAGCCACACTAGGGGGAGACAAGAAAAATTGATATGCAAAATTTATGACTTGGATATAACCACTCAGTTGGTGAGAGTTTCCAGGAAGTGTCATTTTTAATCTCAATCTTTTTAATATACTGTCAAATTTTAGATCCGTGTTTGTAATACTAATTACATTTGCTAATACAAAATGAAAAAATACATATAATAAAAGAAACTGAAATTCTATTTGAACATGATGTTTTTACTTGCTATTTAAAACTTGGGGAATCCCATGGAAAGGTGAGCAGACCAAAAAAGGCTTATCGATTCATAAGTGTGCTTGCAGTCAGCCTTTGTTTTTTAACAATATTCATCATTATTTAGAATTGGTATGAATCTTCATAATCATGTCTGGATTATAAGCTGGTAAAAAAATACCAGTACTATGTGTGGATGGTCACTGGATAAAAACAAAAATTTACTGGCTTTTTGCCAGTTAGCAACAGCTTATTTTGAGCCCTGTGCATGAAACTTTCTCTATAGTCACATCATTCAGAAAATTATTGAACAAAAATAGCTATGTGTGCACAGTTTTTTTTTTTGTGTGTAACAAAAATATTGAATACCGTAAGTAAATTTTGCTGTAAGAAATTACAATGCAGTATTAGTAGTGAACTTTATCTAATTAATGGGCTGTTTTAATGAATAAACATTTTTGTCACAAAACGTAAAACTATAAAAAAATTAATACTAATATCTTTCAGTCTTGCAATACAGGATGAAATTACTAAATAAAAGATACGGTGAACTTAGTTTTTCTAATTTTCTATATTGGAAGCTTTTAGTCTGAATACTGAAACCTTCCTTCATCATGTGAGATGTACAAGAAAATTGACATGTCAAAGGCTTCAGTTTTGCAAACAGAAGCTTATGAAATAAAAAAAACTAAGATTCATTGATTTTTTTATTATGAATAATAACTTTTTCTCAAATTTATTTACAATTACTATTTAAAATGATGAGTTGCATAAAATAACAGGCACTTTAATTTTAGTATGTCTGTTTATAACTGTTTTTGTGCACTCAGTTTCAAAGGCTGATTAAAGTCTGTGCCAATACCCTTTAGGTAATGATGTTACAGTGCCTTAACCATTCTTTTAATGCCATGGGAAGCATAAATAGATAGCAAACAACATTATGCTAAATGTGTTATAGTTATTAGAAAAACATCACAGAACTAACAAGAGCACTACAGTTAAGATAAAAACTAAGTGGCTTGTTAGGACTAACTGTGGCTCATCTTTACCAGTGTTCAAGTAGATAATTTGTGTAAGTATAAGTTTTATCATTATGTTTCTTCACAACAGGAAACATTGCAAACTTTGTCACATGGAGCAGATCAACGTCTTTAACTATATAATAATTCATCAGACTTCTAAATATCAGAAATTTATAATCATATTAAACTGAGTGAGTTGGACTCATGGAATATTGCTAGATTTGGTCCTTGGTGCCATTATTCTCTGGACCCCTGTGTTCACAGTCTAATTTTAAGGGTTAACAGTTTAATAAAATAATAACTTGAATGGTTTCTTAGCTATAACTCTTGGAAATGGTTTGAAGAGTGTTAATTTGTGTACATATTTTAAGCTGTAGTTTAGATATGTAGTTCACATATTTTGTTGTACACGTGAGCTGTTGATGTTGAGAGTGAAATTTCATTAATAAATTTTCTTTTAATACATAAATGTTTTAGCTTATGGGGAAAATTTGCCCACTTTTAGTTCCAAAAACTATTAATCAGTGTTTAAAACTTTTGTGCCATGTTTCATTCATATTCACCAGTGTGATGATTATCCAAATTAGGTTTATGTTCACAATCATGTATTGCAATGAATAATATTTTGCAGTAATGTACATTACTGTTTCAACTTTTTTTTTAAGGGGAAAGTACAACTGATGTACTTAAGATTGCAGTCAAAGCAAGATCTAGAGTATTAGGTCCATTTCATCCAGGTTTTGACATTAACACCATACTTTATGATGGTTTGGTCAAAATCTTGCCAAGTAATGCTCACCTGAGATGCAGTGGGCGATTGCATATCTCCGTAACTAGAGTATCTGATGGAGAAAATGTCTTACTCACACAGTTTGACAGCAGAAAAGATCTTATACAAGTAAGACAAGAACATTTGTTTATAGAATTTCTGATGTAGATAAGACTATTGTAAAATATGGCTCAAAAGTTTGTAGATAAGCCTACAATGAAATATAGTTTGAAATTTTCAATATAATTAGATTATCATATGATACATATATAGCTCAAAATTATTAATTAAGTCAGAAGATTTGGCTATAATTCCATTTGAGTCTCAGACTCTCAATTCTGGTGCTCAAATGTATAATAAAAAACTTGATCTCTTGTGAAATAGATTTAATTTCCATTCATAACATATCATTTATGCTTATTACATTCAGCTTTCACTGGTGATAAAGGAGAAAAGGCTGTAATATTTTGTACAGTAAAAGATACTAAATGTAAATAGAAATGTTATAAAACCAGAAGTAGAATGTAAAATCCTAATATGCTAAATTAAAATCAGACAGGACTAATTATTAGTACCTTTTTGTGTCTATATGTTTACATATCAGAAAGTGAGGTTGATTTATATAATGACTCCTACCAGAGAGCTTCTAAAATCTTTCTTTGACTAGTATAATTGTTTATCAGTTCCATGTCTGTACCGGTAACCTTACATAGTTTTTCAATAGCAAGTGTTAGCTTATACAATTATCAATCACTAAAATATTAAGAGAGCAAATACAATAACTGATAAGTGTGAAAGGTAAGCTGTTAAGATCTGCATTCATGATATTTTGTTTTATATATATGTTGTAAAAGTTGTAAGTAAAAAATAAGTCTGTGATATTGGTTGTTTGTCTGTAAGAAGTCTGCAAAAAAAGTATAAAATATTGATACTGGAAAATTTAAATGTTTTGTATGATAATCTGGAATTGGTTTTAATACAGAAAATAGTTTATATCTTTATGAGAAAGTAGTTTATGTATGTGCTGGAAAATGCTTTGATATTGGATAAAATCTAGTTTACTTTTGTATGCAAGCATGTGATCAGTTTATGTACTTTATAACTGTTCTAAATGTAGATTTTGTTATTTTTAGTAATGCAACTTGGAAATTCTATTAGTTATGTTTCTAATTTCTCATGAATACTGCATATTAAATTATTCAATAAATGGTAAACCAGACTACCACATGCTGTGTCAACAATGGCTGACTTGTTGAAGTGTAAAATAGAGGGCACATCTTCATCCTACAAATCAGCTGTTTGTAAATATTTTAGGTTTAAAGTATTGGATCAAAGTATAATAAGAAAAACTGATTGTTCAAAAACAATATCTAAAACTTATAAGATGGACACCATTTATAAAACTAGAAGAACATCGAACATGGCCACACACACATGAAAAGAAAATGTATTATGTTATAAGAAATGAAGGAAATTAAAGGTAAACTTTTACTAGCTTCATTTTCTGTGGGCAGTAAAGGACACAGTGCTCCTCAACTGAAACTTCAGGAAGCATTTAAAGCAAAATTAAATCTGAGCAGTTCAAGGTTAGAAGAGGTAACAAGAACTATTGGAATATTCATGACTAAGGATATGAAAGGATTTTCAGTGGGATAATATCTGGCTTTAGAAATTTGCTTAAGGGTTTGGAGCCAAGATGTGAGATCCCTTTTAAGATTCACTTTAGTTTGATACTGAATTGAAAGGTGCTTCTTCTGTTGTCCTTGCCGTGATGGATGGACTTCAAGATCTTCTGAAAACTACATTACTATTACTAGGCATTTTATAAACTACAGCTGGAAATGAGAAATTTCATTCTACAAATAATATAGTTAAATTAATTGCATATGGTTGAGTGCATGGTATATGTACTGAAGGAGACTGTATTTTCTTGGGACTTGAAAAAGTGTCCCTCTGTAACAACTGATAATGCAAGTAATGTGGTAAAACTAGAAGAATTCTCACCCTGTGTTAATTTAGCTGTTCAGTAAGGCCTTCCAGTGTTGCAAGATGATGAGTTGTTAGGGCAAGTAAAAATGGTAGTTTCCTTTTTCCATAGAAGATCAACAATAAATACTAAACTGAAAGCAAATCAGCTTATGCTTAAGCATCCTCAGCACAAGATAATTCAAGACATCTCAACAGGTGGAATTCTAGTTTTGACATGCTGTCCTGTTACTTGGAAAAATAGCTCACAAATTTGGCAATATTTATGGAAAAAATAGTTTATATGAATGAATATATTAAACAGTGCCTTTGATATTTTTTGCTTTAAGGTTGATGTTTCAGGTGATCAAAAGTTCCCTTTTAACAAATAAATTTCATATTTCTTCATAAACACAGTATTGGTCATTTTGTATTTTCCATGCTAGAAAATTAACATACGCGTGTATTGTCGTAAAAGACATACAAAATGTACGGAATCATGAAGTAAGCATATAATTACATCCCTTTAATGATGTAGTAGAATATTTTATACATAGGAAACTATTAATATATTCTTTAATGTTTGTAAATGTTTCAGAAAATGTATTCATTATAAAAATTTAATTGTTATGTAGGATTTAAAAATATTTATTTTTCAGTAGCATCTATACCAGATTTAAAATTATGTGAATGAGTAATTCCAGAGCTCAAAATATTTTTAATTTTATACCTCTTTCATTTATACAGGGTGTCCCAAAATGCATATACTAAAAATAATGTTGAATAACATTTTCAGTATTTGAGATAACAACAAAATTCAAAACAAAATATCTTCTGAAGGCTTGTAAGTTTTATTGTATTTAATTAATAAACTTCTACATGTCTTCCATCATTAGCTATAATCAATATAATTCTGCATTCAAATTCTGAGAACACTTGTTCCAACACAGCTCCAGGGATGGATAAGACAGCATCATGGATACAAAATTTCAGTTCCTCAAGATCCCTCGGTTTGTTATGGTAGACTTTTGTTTTCAAAAATCCCCAAAGATAAAAGTCCAAAGGGGTAAAGTCAGGGGAACTCTTCAGGAGTTGTCATTTTACTTGAAAACAGGGTCAGTTCTGAAATCTGAAATGTCCATAAATAATAATGATAAATAATAAAAATAATGATTACTTTAAATAAAACTTACAAGCCTTCATAAGATATTTTGTTTTGAATTATGCTGTTATCTCAAATAATAAAAATTATTCAACTTTCTTTTTGACATATTCAGTTTGGGACACCCTGTTTATAGAAGACTTGTGTAAAGGAAAGGTTTAGTAATTGCATATTGTCATGATTACTTTTGTCCATATTATTACATAACATGAACTTCTATACAGTGTTTTATATATACATTTAATTTATGTTTTACCATATAGAGATTTATTCATTTCTACAGGCTCTTTTATGTAGCTGTTTCGTACCATTCTATTCTGGGCTATTACCACCAAAATTTCATGGAGTGGTAAGTTTTGTTTATATTTTCTCTTTCATAATCTGTGGTTTTTAAGTACATACAAAAACTGTTATTTAGCTCTTCTACTTTAGTGTTACAAGGATAGCTCTTAGTAAACTTATAATTCTATACCCATAATGCCGCGAGAACTCTTCAAAACACACTTTACAAGCCATTTTATTTACACTCTCCAAGTAGTAATAGATTAACCTATATTTCATTGAAGTAATAGCCAGGACTCAACAGAAAGTGTCTTATTCAGTTGTAGCCCATTCTTTGAGAAATATGGTCTTCGATTGGCTCATAGATGTTGACATGGGATTATGATGGCAAATGTAAAATTCAAGTTTATCCCAAAGATACTCATCAATGATTATGATTGGCAATATAGCTTTTCATGATGCCACTGTTAATAGACCTTGATGATAGATGTGCTTGAACTGTTGTTCAGAGAAATGGTCTTTGATAACAATGCTTCTGGTAGATGGGAACCTACTGTTTTGCTTCTTTAAAAGTTGGGAAATTCTTGCCCTTAGCCATTGTCTTGAATACTATTCATGACAGTCATTTGACACATTGTTGATTAGTTTGCTTTGCATCTGCAAATAATGGAAGTGTTTGACAAGCATGTGTGGATCCTATTAAATCTAACCAATCAGTGTATGTGCATTGTTATAAAGGGTGCTATAAAATTTAAAAGCCAATCATATTCAATATATAATTAATTTTGTTCATATTAAATGAGTACAAAAAATTCAACAATTAATTGCAAATCCAATGTTTAACATAAAACAAAAAAGTATAAGAATTAAAGTTTCAAGATTCTTAAAATGTGTTCCTAGTGAATGCAAAAGATTCATAATATTACCATTCTTAAAAGCCTATTGCTATTCATGTCATTTTTACATCAAGAATCACATCGTAGTAAGGACATTTAGGGAGAAACAGTCTGTTTCTTCAGATTATGATACGAAACACTACAGAATGATCTACATTGCTAGAAACAAACTTGCAATTTCAGAAGAAACAGAAAAGCTAAGTTCTGTTCATTCTCATTCTATGAACTGTGTTATGGTAGTGCTGAAATTCTTAGGCATTGTTAGGATAGGAATAGATTCTTTTGTGCATCAAGGACACTTGAACTTGTAAAATTTAAGTGTAAACAGTCACCTGTTCATTTTATCCTTCTAATAAAATATATTTCTTATTCCACAAATATGTTTCAAGACATATCTTAACACTATAATAGTGTTATAAGGTAAGATCTATTAAGTAGGTTTTTAGAAATGGGGAAATTGTAGAATTTTAAGGGTGGCCACTTGATTCAGCATATCATGAATTATCTTCTCAACAAAACGTTTTAAAATGTTTCTTTTAGTTTTAAAAATTTATTGATTTTCACATATTTTTGAGGTAGTTAATGGAAGCTTCTTACAATCCTGTTTGTTGTCAGTTTAATGTTTTTATTTTTCAGGCTTATATGGATGGATGTTTTAGCAACAACCTTCCAATATTAGATGAAAACACTGTTACAGTTTCACCATTTTGTGGAGAAAGTGACATCTGTCCCCAGGATAGCAGTTTCAATATCATGCAGATTAGCTTAGCAAATACTAGCATTGCTGTGAGTGCATTTTCTGTCATTAGATGCAGAAATAATCTATTGGACAGGCTGCTGCTATTCTGTATGAAATATTCTGTAGTGTTGTTGCATGTATGTAGCTCATGCAATTTTGATCAAATGACAAAATCATTACTGATGCAACTATAAGCATGTATGTTGTCCCTTTGATGTTATTAGAAATAATGACTTTTTATAATGTGTTGTTTCTATGTTTTACTTTGAAAAAAAAATATATATATATATATATATATATCTATATATAAAGTTTGTGTTAAATTGTTCAGTTGCTTCATTTAAGATAATTGTTTGTAAGTATCAGTGTGGCAATACAAGATTTTATTAGAAAGTTCACTATGAGCAACAGAATTGAAACTTATGACTTGTAGTAGAAAATTCATCATTTTTTGGTGAGTTGGTTCTAAAAATATTATACTCATAAATGCAGAAATTAATGACATTTCATACATGTGTGTTATTATTCTGAGTCATACAAACTGGTATGTTTTCAAACTTTTATATACTTAAAGAAACATATGGATATTAATTGTATTTGCCATTATTCATTTAAAAAAATGTGTATTTATTGTTCATAATAATGTGAGTCTTTTTATACTGTATAGATTTCACCATCCAACTTGTACAGATTTACAACAGTTCTGTTTCCACCTCATCCTGAAATTCTCAGTAAAATGTGTCAGCAAGGTTTTGATGATACCTTGAAATTTCTACAAAGACACAGTAAGCATTTTTTAGTGGGAAATTAATGGAAAAGACAAGCCTTATGTGCTGAATTTTTATTTATCAAAATAAAATATATTAAAATATTAACAAATGCTTCATACATTTTCCTTTAACTAATATGTATAAAAAATACTGGCTATTT